TTTTTCAGATTTAAATGAAGGTTGACAGGTGAAGGAAAAACTATTTTGTTAGAAGCAAGAAAAATATAAATACGTAATAATTGAGCGGCTTTAACAACAACCATGCTCTCATGGAAAGGCTACTGGTTCAGATTATATGCAAAAAATGCATTTTACAGTTTTTAATGGTCAAAATGTGTTGGAAAATAGTCAACAGAATGGCAGTATGCTGATCTAGCAACAGGTTAATGAGACCAAGGCTGATAGATTAGCATGGGGAGTAAAGACAACCCTGTGGTCTGTTCCAAAAAACAAGGACCGGAAGCTTATATTCTTGAAGCCAAAGTAGGTTTTTAGAGGAAAGATGTCAGAATACATTCTGCGTTGCAGTTTATTTCTACATAGTGCTGCAGAAATACAGACCAATCAGGTCACAAATTGGATAACGTAAATGGTTCAGGTTAGCATTGAGATCCACAGCTTTTTTAACTGGGTCTCCACCTTCACCAGTCTAGTCCAGCGTTTGTTTGGACATACCTAAATAAATCCAATCATTGCCCGCCTTAGATAAAATAAAGGACATGCTATGAACATGTTGTTTGGTAACACCATTGTACTGTGTACCTGACTCTAGCTCTTAATGGGTCAAAGCTGTTTTTTTTATCAGCAAAAGTGGATCCAAAACACTATGATTAGTTGGTCATAATGGCAGAACATTTATCTTCAGTACAAATTTCCTGCAGGGGTTTTTGTATTTATGAGTTTTAAATAGCTGGATGTGTCTAGATGAAACACAGAATGTGCAAACAAAATGCCCAACCAAGGTTTATTTTTCATCCAACAATATTTCTGAATATTCTACTAATTCGGAAGTGAATAAGAGGCCAAAACAGTGAAACAGTGTTAAACACCTTACTTTTTTTCAGGTGAGGTGTTACTCAAATAAATATAGCCTTGTCTGTCTATTGTTAACTATTAATGCTCTTTTGTATTAATTTATACCCTAGCATGATTTTTTTTTTTTTTTGCATGGGATTATATTTTGTATTACTAGTGTCTATTACATCAAGCTTGTTGTTTCCAAAATGCTTCAAAGAGTCATTTTGAAAAAGAGAAATAAACTGAACAAATATGACCAAATTATTTCCCTGCTGTTAAATTTTTTTTATTTATGGAGCTTTTGAGTCAAATGCAGCTACATGCAATGAAACCACAACTGACTGAATTCTGGTAGAATTTTCACAACTTCATGCCTATTTGCACCTGAAAAGAAGAAAAGCCCACAGTATATGGTGGGCACTTGGGCTGCTGTAGGTGTGTTTGAGGAAAATTGAAGAGCACTACCTTCAGGCTTCAGAATCTCATTATCCATATTGTGTTGCTTGAATGAAAGCAGAGGTGTTCTGGCAACAAATAACCACTACAACCAAGGGAGTTAGGAAATCTCTGGAGCTTTGTAAAACCTCATACTGCAGAGGTAGCCTGTCAATTGGATTTGTTGAGGGATTTTCTGCAGTTGTCACTGTGACAGTCAGAAATCACATGACACAAAGAAGTATTTTACATCTAGTAATCTGATACTTTAGCTCCAGTGATACAGTGTTTGTTATGTATTCCCACAGGTGGAAGTCATTGTCACTCACAGTAAAAGCAGCTATTTACGATCCAGCCAACAATTTGTGTGTTTAACAAGAATATTTGACTCTTAGGGTGTATAAGATCTAGTTACTGTTATTAATACATTTGTCTATGAAGACATCCTGAAGCCAACATGATTTTGGGAACCATGGATTTCATCAGTAATCATAATTTGATCATATGATTTGTCACTCTAATCAAAATCCATCCATGAAGAATAAATATTTTAAATCATTAACATAAAGGGCTATCAGACATAAATGATTAGAATTTAGATGATCAGATATCAATGATTTTTATAGATCAATAAACACAGACACTTTAGCTATTCTGAAACTTATTAAACAAAATAGCTCAGTTACAAGCAATTATTCTGTTACTACTAAATTTTAAATTCAATTCAGTTTATATATATAGCCCCATTCTTAACACTCAAGGCACTTTCTAGAGAAAGGACTATCAGATTGGTTTGGATAACTAGTTGACAGCATGCAGTCAGTAGTCAGTACATGCTCCTCTTGGATAAGCCTGCGGCGATGACCTCCGCTTGCATTTTCTCCTTGACTGCTGTCGGATGTTCCTATCATGCATGTAGACATGGCTGGATGCAACGTTGCCATCACATAGCAATGCCTTCATTTAAACATTTCTCCTCCACTGATCTGTGCTCAGTGCTGGATTGCAGCCTCTACTTCCTGTTTAGTACCCCTACGTAATGGGGACAACGACATATGATTGGATTATGCTTATTGATGCGTTGTTAAATTGTTTTAAACCAAATGGAAACACTGCAAAATCTAAATTTTCTTTTTATTTTAAATTTAAAAGTTCTTTTGAAGTTTCAGTTGGAAGGAAACACTGAGTTGGTCAAAAAAAAGGTGTGAAGGCTTCAGGGGTAGAAGAGCCAAGCCCTGAGTATTTGTTTTCTATAAATGTTGCTTGGCTCTTGTGGTTGGCGTGCTGCTGAGGGACTGGCAGACCAGGATGGTGGTTCTACTTCACAAGA